ACCTACAAAGGAAATGATAACACTATTCATTATTAATCTGCTGTATTCTATTGCAAAATAATTATAATTGTATTTGCCGTTGTGCAAATCCTGAAGTTTAAATGTTGCCAACTCAACATGTAAACTGACTACTCCACGTATTTTCTTAAGTCTCCATACGAAAGCCTGCTTTTAGATTCTCTTTATTGCAATGTATTGCTGTTGTTTAAGTTTCGAAACCAAATTACCATCTTGATCTTGTTGTTCAGACTTTAGGGATTTTTTTGTCGGCGACACGAGCTACTTGGACTGTTTTCAAGCGCGTGCGAACATACGAATTCCTAACGAATTACTTAGATGAAAGCCTGAACGAATGACTAATTATAGCGAAATGTTTTCGTCAATTATCAAATTGCCTCTCTGGGTTTCAATGGCAAGTACATTTTGAAAATTCTTTAAAAGTTAATTCAGGCTCTGTCCACACGTATCCGGATATTTGTGAATCCGCAAGTTTTTCTTTCCGGATTCAAAAATTTCTCCGCCAAAGGTAGCGTATTCAAATCGAATTCGCCTGTCCACATGCATCCGATGGTATCCGGATTCACTCTAGAGAAACTAGGCCTACACGTTGTGCCGCCATATTGGTTCATTGTTCGGTAAGAGACTGGACACGATTTTGCTACGTCATCGGATTCGAAAATATTGGGATTCACCGTCCACACCTTATGGGATTCGTTGCGGATTAATTTTTTCCACTCTGGATAGCGGATTCAAAAATATCCGGATTCGCTGCCAAATTCGCCGGACGCGTGTGGACGGAAGCCGTATCCGGAAAGAAAAAGTTGCGAATTCAAAAATATCCGGGTACGTGTGGACAGGGCCTCAGTGACAGAACACACCTCACGTAATGGCGTTATCAAGGCTCGACGGGCAAACAGTTTTATGTCCATTTGTGTCATAAAACGATTGCAAGAATAAGTGACTTCAGCATGCCTTTCACTTCAGTTGAATCAATAATTTAAACCCATGGGCATACCTAGCTATACCTGCCCTTGAGTGCTTGAAATATTTGTTTTGCCTTTTCAGCAGCATGGCACTTGAAACAATTTGAAAAAGTACTAGTATATAACAGTCATGAAAGGAAATTAGTTTTCTAAAACTACTTTGTAACAAATATTTTTTCGCAACAAAATACAATAATTTTGTGAGCTTATAAGGTCAATATTTTGTAAACACTAAATTTTGGTGTTTTTTTNAACGATTGCAAGAATAAGTGACTTCAGCATGCCTTTCACTTCAGTTGAATCAATAATTTAAACCCATGGGCATACCTAGCTATACCTGCCCTTGAGTGCTTGAAATATTTGTTTTGCCTTGATGCACTTGAAACAATTTGAAAAAGTACTAGTATATTACAGTCATGAAAGGAAATTAGTTTTCTAAAACTACCTTGTAACAAATATTTTTTTCGTAACAAAGTACAATAATTTTGTGAGCTTATATAAGGTCAATATTTCGTAAACACTAAATTTTCGTGTTTTTTTTCCAACCAAGTCCGATTCGTGATTTTGTCGTCAAGATCAAGAATTTCAAACGATGAATGCGAGCTGAAACTAATTGTTTAATTGTTTAGTTCGAGGAATGTACAGACATTTTACTCGCGATTTGTTTCAAGCCAATTGGGAGCCCGTGAGAAGTCGGTGTGAATAAGAGAAAAATGTGAGTTTTCGGCTGAAGGTAATTGCCCACAACATGTGTAAGCCCCGAGCGAACGAACGCAACATTTTAAGGTAATATATTGCAACATTGCTGTACACTTCATGTTGTACACGTTTGGCCATCCATTCCAACAGCAAGTTTTAACTTGTTCAACATGTTGCGCAAAACAATGTCGCGGGCAAGCCTCCACGCGGTAAAACGTCTTTGCAGAATGATTTTACTTGCCTTAAGCCCTGGCCAAACGGACTCGCAAGTTGACGCAAGTTGAAAACTTGGGTCCACGTGCGTTGATTTGCGTTGACTTGCGCCCACTTTGGTCGAGATCAAATTTGCACGCAAATCAACGCAACTTTTTCACCTTTTGGCCACCCAACCCAAGTCAACGCAAGTTGAGTGACGTCCATTAACCTGTTGTTAGCCAATGCATGAAAAACCGGATATTTCTGCCTTGAAATGGGTTTTATTGCGACTTGCGGGTACTTGCGAGGAAACTTCCGAGTACGTTTGGCCTCCCAGCCAAAGTCTTTACGCAATTTCAACTTGCGGCTCATTGCGAGTCCGTTTGACCAGGGCTTTAAACTTTCGCCTCTATTACGCGATGCTTTTTAATTTTTCCTGCGCCATCATAATACTTTCCTGATTTTACGATCGCAAAATATTTCATACCACCAAGATTTCTGCAACAAGGTTTGAAGCACAGTAACAGTTATGTCGAACTAAAAATAAAACTTTAAACTGTATCTTGGCCTAAAGCAACCCTGCGGCGATATGTGATCATAAATTGTTGACTATGGGCTGTCACATAATAATATACTTAAAGCCAGAGATAATTAATCTTCGCAACTTAAACAAAAGACTACTTTCCTGTCGGTTTCTACTTCACCGAGATAAATGGGTTATGTATTTATAGGTTGAATTTTTTATGACCAGTGAAAAATTGTTGTTTTTTTTTAACTTCAGAGTGCATTAAATAATTTAGCTCACATAGTTCTAACCATTATATTATCAGAGCATTTTCAGTACTGTTCATCTCCAGGCTTTTTGATTAATATTTTGCCATGCATACGTCACCATCTTCAGCTTACGGAAAAAGGTGAGTTTAGGATGCACGCAAGCACGAAACAAGACAAAAATTAAACCCAGTTTATTTCATCTGTGCTTCTCAGAATCTCTATGTTTAAAATGATACCTTTCTCATTTTTTCCAATCAGCAGTTGCCATGTTTTGGGAGCTGAATAACTGAGTCCTATGCCATTAACACGGAAAGAAAACTGAAACAAATCGTGATGGCAACAAGAACATATAATTAAATCGATATAATTGATAGTATATATCTGTCGGTTTTAGCTGCCGTGATGGTGAAGTCGAAACATTTTAATGATATAATCTTCCACCTGTTGCTGTTTTTTCATTAAAGAAAGGTTCCATTAGCTTCTTGTCGTATTAATTAAACGATTTACCTGCCGGCTCCTCAAAGTCTAAAATTCTGAAACAATATACCCTGCTCAATAATACATGAAAATTCTGGTTCTCTGCATTATAATAAGCAGTGTATGAATACAGAAGCTAATGTACCTGTGCTACCTGTTAATATAGAAAAATATGTCTCGGGGCTACTGTCACCAAATTTAGCGTTAAAAGGCACTAATGTTTGCAGCGTTTTTCCACTCAGTTACAACAAAAGACCCCGAACTTAGCCCGGAGCTCTTAACTTCGAATTTATCCCACACTGAGTTTTTCAATGGACCTTTGACACCTTTTCAGCTTGGACTGTTTGTCGCCCCATTTTTAACCATGTGGTGATACTCTTGAGAATTCAAATTTTCAAATAGTCGCGTTTAAATGAAAGAATATAATTTTTAGGTAGATAAAAGAACAGCTCTCTAGAGAATATCACTTGGTCTGAAATGGAAAACAAAACCGCCCAAGCTAAACAGGTCTATTCTGCATAAAAGCTAGGTACAAAGCAATTTTGTGAATAATTTATATATGACTGTGCATTTGCAATGTGAAAACATCACTATTACAAAATTGAATTTTTGTGAAGAAGCTATTGTGGCTGACCTAAGTAACATTTATGGACCCCGTGCAGAGCAAGAATCAAAACATCGCTTTGATGATTGCATTCTGTTCAAACATATGGCGCTTCGTTGCAAGCTCCACTAATTCAATTCTGCTTAGCTTCTCCGCGTCATTGCTTTGGCCTTGAAACATAGCAATAGCTTCAAGCTATATTCAGGTATGGTTAGGCTCTGTGCTTAAAATTTAAAGTGCTCTTGAATTTCAAGCAGTCTCGAACTAGCCTTGTCTCACGACTATTGCTTCATCCCAAGTTAATAACCAATTGAACCGGTAGAGTATACAAGTTGAGAATTCTGCGAATTAAATATCAATTTTGATCGTATTTGCACTCCCACCTTTCAAATCGTGAAAGTCGACCGGTTTCTGAGAAAGCTTTGTTTGCATGACCAGCATATGAGTTTAAAATTGTTAAAAACACGCTAGAGGTCACTAAAGTAAACTCAAAGTGAAATTCACAAANTGATACTCTTGAGAATTCAAATTTTCAAATAGTCGCGTTTAAATGAAAGAATATAATTTTTAGGTAGATAAAAGAACAGCTCTCTAGAGAATATCACTTGGTCTGAAATGGAAAACAAAATCGCCCAAGCTAAACAGGTCTATTCTGCATAAAAGCTAGGGACAAAGCAATTTTGTGAATAATTTACATATGACTGTGCATTTACAATATAAAAACATTACTATTGCAAAATTGAATTTTTGTGAAGAAGCTATTGTGGCTGACCTAAGTAACATTTATAGGCCCCGTGCAGAGCAAGAATCAAAACATCGCGTTCGTGATTGCAGTCTGTTCAAACATATGGCGCTTCGTTGCAAGCTCCACTAATTCAATTCCACTTAGCTTCTCCGCGTCATTGCTTTGGCCGTGAAACATAGCAATAGCTTCAAGCTATATTCAGGTATGGTTAGACTGTGCTTAAAATTTAAAGTGCTCTTGAATTTCAAGTAGTCTCGAACTAACCTTGTCTCACGACTATTGCTTCATCCCAAGTTAATAACCAATTGAACCGGTAGAGTATACAAGTTGAGAATTCTGCGAATTAAATATCAATTTTGATCGTATTTGCACTCCATTCCCATCTTTCAAATCGTGAAAGTCGACCGGTTTCTGAGAAAGCTTTATTTGAATGACCTGCATATGAGTTTAAAATTGTTAAAAACAGGCTAGAGGTCACTAAAGTAGACTCAAAGTGAAATTCACAAATTTTCCATCATGAATGGTCATAGTTTATCATTTATTTATTTTATAACCCTGCATCACATAAAGTACTTTCGCTTATAATAACAACAACCTCCACAAGTAGGTTATTAAATCTTCAAAGTTGCTATTGAAATTTCCAATCCTTCGATCGTTTCTACCTTTTGGGAAAGTTAAACAACAGTCACGGGAAATTTTTCCGCCAAACAAAACATTGCCGGGGTACATTCGACATGAAACTTAAGGGCATGATCGTCAGGCCTTAGGTGAATTTGGGTGCCCCGTGCAAGGTGTTAAATTTAATGGTGGGGCATTTGAACACCAATCATAGACCCCGCGAGAGAGGAAAATTTTAACCAAACCCGCGGAGAGGATGTTGAAGTCTCAAATAGCTTTGCTATCTCATGGACTGTGAGCTAGAAGACTTTTACCGTCAAACATGTCCAGACAGATAGTAAAATCTTCTTAATGTGGCTTTCACGCTATAACTGCCCACGGTTGAAAACCCCAGAAAATGGACAAAGCTAGAATACTCGCCCAAAGTGCAATTTGTCGTGTACGGCTTGATAAGCCATGGCATTAAGCATTTCTTTTAGCAAGGGCTAAACTAGATGCCTTCGCTCGCTGATCTTAGTCCTCAGCGAATTCCGAAAACGCTGCGAGCAGCTTCTTGACTGTATTCTGAAAACCTTTTTGCATATCAAAACTTTTCCGAGAGAAATCAGTACGAATTGTTGTAAATTCACTGCTTAACGATGTAATATATTCTCATTTCAGTAAAGTTATCGCAAAATTTCGTCAGGGATCTCTACAAAGCTACACGTAGTTTTGTGAAATCTTAGCTTCGAATACATTTTCCTCCCAAAAATATAACTGAACGGATGGAACCACCTGTAGGCTAATTGAACGAATATAGGAAAGAAGGAAGCAAGGAAGTAAACGGACTCCACAAGAAAAAAGGAACGAACACAAGAAACGCTCAAACTTGCTAAGACTCTGAATGGTAAAAACACAATGTAAAAGCCTGCAATGCAGGCGTATTTTGGCGCATTTTGAACGGGCCAGCGCCATTTTGGATTCAAAACTGAAAGGAGAAGGATTGAGGAGAGAGGAAGAACGCGTCGTGAGGTTGAAGAAGAAGGAGAAGAGAATGAAACAGGATTTGTTCGGGATTCGTCATTGGCTTGTGGTTTTGCCTTTATAAGAGTTGTTGCTAAAATTACGTGCCCATGACTTTCTCTAAGTTTGCGTCACCTTGATTCGCGCCAAGGTATCCTTTCGTGTGGTCAGCCCTCCATCAAAACCGGAATAAGCACTTGTTTTAAGTTATTTTTGTCGGCCCTTAAAGTCTTTTGGTTAACCTGTTATGCATAAAAAAATAGCCCCGAGCGGTGATGTTGGACTGCTTATGTTTATTAAGTCCACTTAATTATCGTTGAAACTGAGATTAATTTGCCTTCGCTGTATGATCGTTACGTTCCTCGACAGTGATTGGTCAACGGACTAGACCATTTATTCATTCTTGACACCATTCTGAATACGATAATTTCTCAAAGTCACGATTCGCAATCACAACCTTTTTTTAAGATTTCTGCAATGTTTTTGAATTCGTTTTCCTGTAAATGTATGTCGACGTTTTGTACAATGTCGTGTAGTGATTTATGTTCAAATTTTTTCTTTTCCAGCTATGAATCAAGTGCAAATTAAACTCGAATCCCTCCGATGTGGTTTTCATGGATTTCTCTAAAATTAACACCAAACAGAAGTAATGAAATTGGGCGAATATTGTTACCCTCGAAAGCGCTTCAAAAACGAATGGAATAGATTTCACTCTGAATGCAAATTACGCATCATATTTTGAGCGCATATCTCGTTCAAAAACTGATTTACGATCTTTTTATTGAGGAAAAACCCAAATAGAATATTTTAATCATTAAATGGCGAGAGGCAATGAAGTCCTTTGTTTGTCACCAGTTAGAGATCTGACGCATGTTTTGTGGGCGAATAAATTTTTCCGTGATTCATCCTTTCATTTTGATCCACTTTAAGAAGTTTGCCGACATTATAATTTGGAATAAAAACGTCAGTTTAATCTCAATATTGAAAACTCTATAACCAATATCTACCGTCATACCGAGCCAGTTGATATTTACTTCTGAAATTCATCTTAATAACTTCCATGTATTCATTTTGCGGTGACCATTTTTTCCGTTTATCGCACCTAAGGTTGGTCTCGAAATGAACCCATGGCCTAACTATCAAATCCGGAGGAAATTCCCATTTGTCAAAGGGAGGAACGCGGCCCGGAAGGATGGCTTGAACTCTGTTTTTCCACCAGTTAAATTATTTTAGGCAGTAAAGAAAAAATTAATTGACTTTCATTTCTGTTCTAAAGAAGTTCACCCATTGATTTCTTGGCATTTCAGCGGGGATTCAAAATCATTTTCGTAATGCTCTCCGCGGGAGTCTATCCAGGTATTTCTTCTTGAGCATTCAGACAAAACATTAGATATTGTACAACACAGTCATCGCCCAGTATCATCGTGTTTTCTAATACCCCTTTCACACAATCCGTGCGCTCCAGTGAGATACGCACGACCCTAATATAAATATTCAATTTTATTGCAAAGATACATCAACCAGCTGCCCGAAAGCAATTCACTACTTTACAACATTTCAAATTCCCAGGTGATCAATTCTGTGGAAAATGCTAAGCTCGCAGGATCTCCTAGCTGTTTTCCTCATCTCTCTTTGCATGGGAAGCGCGCGGACGAAGAAACGTAAGTACCAAAATGTTGTATTTGTTTAAATAATTCTTCTGTGGACTTCTAGCATGTGTAATTTCTTTATATTATCACAGTATATCTGTAATACGTGTTTAAAAGCCACGATGTACAACCCGTCAGTCCACTTAATTAAGTCCTTTCTCTCGAAAGGTATTTTGTCGATGTTGTCAAAGTGTTTGTGAACAATTACCTTGAGAGCTTGGCGAAGCCTTTTATAGCTGTATCACATTGGAAAAATGAAAACGGGGAAACGAGCTTCCGTGCCGTACATTCTTCTTCGCAAGGCCCCTTTTTAATGTTGAGTATTGCACAGCTGAAAGCATATACAGGAAATAAGTTTTTGAAATTTCAAAATAAATTTTTTTTTGACCAGTGCGTTTCAGTTTTCTGACGACTTATAGGATAAAAGGACGTAGGTTTGGACCAAGTGTAATCCTGTTATTGTTAAAAAAATAGTTTTCTTTGCAATTTTTACTCGTTAAGCCATCTCAGTTTGACATCTATTTAAATCTGATTTCTTTTCTGCTGTGAATATTCCACGAAACGCCGGGGATTTTTTATTACAAATTGCATAGCCCATGCAATGCAAATTAAAACTGGACTTTGTTCAAACTGACTTTCTTTCAAAACCCACCCGCTTTCTTATACTTATATCGTTTACTCCATCTTGCGATTTTCATATATTGTTTGAGAGGAATTTAGCATATAAATCACAAATTTGACGGTATTTGCGTCTTATTCATTTATCTCATAAACTGTCCTTCAATGACTTGTTTGCGGTCTTTTTACCATTATGGTATCATCCGCTTTGACATAATGTGTGTTTAATTTGAGTCATATATAAGTGAAGCTCGGATTGAGAGGGATGCTATTCATCAAGGAACCTCAGTGTATCAGAATTGCGAATTTTACAAGCACGTAATCCTGAAATCTCCCGACCTATTAATTTGACAAACGGGGGATATTTGTCATATCGAGCCTTGTGGTAAATAACTGGAAAGACAATGAACGGTAAATTACACAGGCAGTTTAAAATCAGGGTGTTATATTAAAAACGTTCGAACTGGTCAAAGGTTTCTTTTCTCACCTCAAGCTAAAGCAGTGCATTTTTCTTCCGGGTTGTTTACGCGGCTTTTAGTGAAGCTCTCTTTAATTATCTGTTTACTTCTAGAATTTAAAACCACTAAAAAGTTCCCATTTTCATTTTCGAAAATAATCGAACTAAGGCTAAACTTGAGTGATGTTGAATGGTTTTAATTTCACACACCGAAGTGATCGACATTTCATTCATAGACTGAGAGTTAGACTGCATGACGGATTGACGTCGGTCTACAGTATTAAAAAAAAC